TTGGAACACAAAGGGAATGCTAATGGAAAAGGTCTTAAGGCACACATAAGTCACCGGTTACAAATTGATTGACAGCAGTAAAACAGTTTCACTTCTTTTCAAATTTCTCAATAAAAGCCATGCGCTGACCCGATTCTGGGCTCACTCAGTCTTCTCTGGCTGAGTCCCTTGGTCTCGCTCTTAATCTTACTTTTGTCTCTTGCTCTTATTCAATCTGCGTCGCCCCTTAAGAGAAACCTGTTTGCCCTTGCCACGCTGGACGTGACAGTCCCTGACACTTTTTCCAGGCTGCTTTTTGTGGATTGCCATGTAAATCATCCTAGACGGTGTGAAAAAACATTTCACCTGGATTAAAAATCTGCAGCGAGCTCATCACCCTGGCAGGAGGCTGTCTAAAGGGTGGCAAGGATACACATTCGTCCTCCCAAAGCAAATGCTTTCCTTTGAGAATGAGAGAACAAATGAAAGAAAGAAAAAACAAACAAACAACAACAACAAAAAACCCTTTCTCTTAATCAAAGTATTCAGCCCTCAGTTTTGATATAACATTTAAAAAGTCCTTAATGGGCTGCTACTTTGATCTAATTTCAATACACGTTAAGATTGTTCATTATTGTTTCTGGGCTTATCTACATGCTTGTAAAGAGAGCTGATTTGATATAAACAGAGGTGGTTCAATAGAGAACCACAAAATTTGGAATTGGGAAGCACCCTTCTAATTCAATCCCTTTATCCCACAGAGAAGTGAAGTGACTTGCCTAAACTGTGTACACTCTGCTCAAATCAAATAATCATAAGGCCATCCTTATGTGACCTTAGTGCTCCTACGATGGGCCAGCCAGCTCCGCACACACCTCGTTAATGTAAGAGGCAACTCAAATGACCCGTTCTCAGGGACAATCTACTAACAAGCCACCCCACACCCCTGCTCTGCCCCAGGACAAAACTCCTTTATATGAAATCAGCCATATTAAATTACAACTTTCTCAATTACGCGACACAGAGCCGCCTGTGTTTTTAGAGATATGGCTGATACTGTCTACACAACTTCCACTGTCCCTTCCACAGCACACTTGGAAAACAGGATTTGTCTTCTCCTGTCTCAGCTCACCTTTCCCCATCTTGCTAACTAGGTACTGAGATGAGTTACCACAGTCAAGCATGTGCATTGTAAGTTTATTATCTCTTCATGTGAAGTGAAAATTCCTTCTTCATGTCTCAGCATGTTCTGGGCATTGGGAAGCAACTAAAAAAAAAGTTAGGACAGAGATCCTCTAGGCCAACCAGGCCTTCCCCTGACTCTTGACAATGCCAGTAACATGAATCAGCTTTATGGGACTGGTAAAGAGAGATCAAAAGAGAATGTGCATGGATAGTGTCCCCACTCCAAAGAGCTGCGCGTACCCCAAGTCCTCTCCAGGTCAGATTAGCTGAGGCTTGATCCAGGCAGCTGCTGGGCCTAGACTGAAAAGTCCTGGACCTTTTTAGTCTCTAGCAAAGGCTCATCCCACAGGCCTTTCCTTCCCCACATCTGCCCCTTCTCATTCTGCTCCACGTCTCTCTGATGATTGTTTCAAATCTTAACCCCTTTGCAAACTTGTGGAACACAGAGCTACATCTCCTATATTATTCCTCCTTCTGTTTTTGATAAATATGTGTCAGCTCACATCCTCTAGCTTATAAAAATACTGGGAATGAACTACCTTGGGAATTAAGGTGTTTCTTGCCACTTATGCAGAGCTTCGTTGAGATCATTTGAGCTTTGACTAGGTGATAGCACATGAAGGGTCCCTTCTGGGCTTCTGTTAGAAATAATGACAACGACGACGATGATGATGATGATGATAGCTTTTTTCATTGCAGACATTTAACAGATTGCAATTTTTTTCACGTATATTTTCTCACTTGATCTCACTTACCCTTTAAAATTGCTAGGGCAGATATTATGATCCCCAAGTTATAGGTGAGGTCACCCATTGAAGGTCACATAGATAAAAAGAGGTTAAACTCGTTTCCCTTTCCACTGTGCTCTGCTGCTTAAAAAAGCAATGAACTCCGCATTGAAAACAGCTGATAACACAGAGCTACAATCTCTTTCTCTCCACTGGGAGAAAGAGGGCATTAATTCTTCACTGCTGTTGTCCCTTAGTGTAAAATACCTAACGAAAAGGGCAATTCATACAGGCAGCACAAGTCATTTTAGAATCACAGACTCTTAGGAGTATCCTGGAAGCTCTTCTTTCCCCTCCATTCCAACACATTTCTATTCCAAGACAAATGCAAAACCTTAGAGGCAATTTACACAGTAAGGAAAAGAGTACTAAGAAAGCACACTATGTGTTTATGTTTTTAGGTGATTATGCCATAAAAAGTCAATTTAGGGACCTGCTGAGTGGCTCAGTTGGTTAAGAGCATGAGCTCTGAGCCACAGGGTCACCAGTTCGATTCCCACATGGGCCAGTGAGCTGCGCCCGAGCTGAGCTGCCGCTGAGCTGGTGAAAGCACGTGCTCTTAGCAGCAAGGTTGCCGGTTCAACACCTGTATGGGATGGTGGGCTGAATCCCCCTCCCCCCAACTAGATTGAACATGGCACCTTGAGCTGAGCAGCTGTGAGCTGCTGACAGGCGGCTGGATGGCTACGTGTGCAACAAGGTTGCCGGTTCGACTCCCCCATGGGATGGTAAACTACGCCCCTCCCCCCCCCCACAACTAGATTGAAAGCAGCAACTGGACTTGGAGCTGAGCTTGCACCCTCCATAACTAAGATTGAAGGACAACAACTTGACTTGGAGTTGATGGATCCTGGAAAAACACAATGTTCCCCTTCCCCAACTCCCCAACACTGTTCCCCTCCCCAATTCCCCAATAAAAATCTTTAAAAATAAAGTCAATTTATATTTGTGTACATACAAACATTAATATATAGCTACAAAACCAAACATTTTTCAGTTCTATTCCTATTTGTAAACAATTTAAATATCCTGTGTTCTTACAGTTACCTTGATTGACTAGATGGTGAATTTTATCTCAGTCTTTACAATGGTATAAAAATCCCAGACCCAGATATTATTATTATTTTTTATCATACTACAAACTTGTTTTAAATTTTGGTATACAACTTTATAATTCCAAGTGTTAGCATGGTATTAAATGTTATCTCATAATGACAATTATAAAATATACATGAACCCCCAAAGTTACCAGTATTTGTTCAAGGTACCATGAGGTAGCTTCTGAAAACACAATGGAAGCATGCCAGCACTGTGGAAGTCAATGGATACTGAAGTTATAAGGATTAAAGAAGAATGTGCCTATTTTACATGGTCTTTTACTAATATAGGGCCTGTAATTTAGTATATTTGAATAAGTGATGACAACCTGACTTTACACAGATTATTCAAGTAGAAAGCAGGTAGGAGTCTATCTATCTTAAACCTAAAAGTTTAGAACTTGAAGAATTTGGGTAAAGAGAATTTTTAAAAAGAGAACAAAGTTATGTATTTTTTTTCTCAGTGTGATTTCTAATTTTCAAGGTATTTTCTTTCTTTTTTTCCTTTACAATATGGAAAGTTAAAAAAAAAAAAAGCTTTCCATTTTTTCCTGTCTTTCTTAGAATGTGAACTCAAAAAGATTAAAACTTGCTATTGTATGCTCTTTTATCCCAACTTGGATTTCAGTATTCTATAAATCATGAGCTTAAAAAAAAAAAGTTGAAATTTAATGAGTAAATTCAACTAACTTATGTTTCAGTTCAATAGAATAAGCATTTACTAAATCTCCATTCAGCACAAGGCCAAGTACTAGGAAGACAACTAGGGTGTACCCATGCTCCCTGAAATCAGAAGTTAGACTTTGCCCATAGGCCCCAAGATTCAGGGATAAATTCCTTTACAAAAGAATTGTTAAAGGTTTATTGAAAGATTTTAACAAAAGTATACCTTCAGTTATGCCAAACTGATAAATGTTCGCCTTTCTCCCAAGGTTTAAACAGCAAATCCCTCATTACAAACTTTCCAAATGCCCACTGACCTCATCAGAAAAGACTTTAAGTATTGAAATCTGTCAAGCTTATGGCAGTGGATACACGTTTTCTAAACTTTTAATTCTCACTTGAATACTCAAAAATTACCATTGGCAACAATAATTGTCTCTTTTTTTTCCCCTGGAAGTGGCAGGAGCACGTTATTTTAAAAAAAATTGTCTGTCAAATACCTGCCTAAATAACCATGGGTTCTCCATCTTTCTTTGAAGTAAAGAGTATTTCATAAAAAAAAAAAATTAAAAAAAAACACACGACACTAATTCAGCTTGCTATTCCAGCAGGGAAGTGTTTTCCTGGAGATAAATGTGGCGCTTCGGTATTCAGCACACGTGCTTTGTGCATACTTCCTATTTTTTTCACACAGAATTTAAAAAGTGTACCAAAGGGTTACTTTACTAAAATTAAAATTTTACGTCTTTATCAAGACTACTTTCAAGTTACACTAGCTTTCACACTTTGGTGCCTGTGCCTTGATTCCTGCTAAGACACCTGCACTTTACCCACCATTATTTTGCACCATTGGTGCAAATGTCAACACAGAGAAAAAGTAAAATAAGTCTGTGTTGTCATGAAAATGGTTTTGACCTGGTAGACCCCTTGAAAGGGTCTCTGGACCCCCTGGAGTTCCAGGACCACACTTGGAGAACTACTGGGTATCAGCGCATGCAGAAATCACAGTTCTTTCCCTTCCGTTATTAATGTTTGAGGCTTATTTATTATTGTAGGCTTGATCACTGAGCGCCAGAGGAAACACACGTCAAGGCGTCGAACACATCCAAGAGACACATCCTATCGCGGGTGCAACTCAAAGGCTCGCCAGGCAGAAAACAGCTGGGGACGAAGGGGGAGGAATTCAGACCACCAGCAAGAGCTTGCGGTTGCCAGTGGCAACGATCGTCAGCGGGAGGGTGCGCGGTCATCGATTAGTAGCGTCTTGCGTCCGTCGCGGAAGGAAAGGGGATGGCTGCAAAAGGAAGGCCTCCCCGGACGTGTGGTCGCCGCGTGTTCTCGGTGGCGAGTCGGCTCGCTCGTTCTGCGATCTATTAGAGTGGCTTCCGAGGGCCCCGGGCTGATGTCGGGGAGGGAGGGAAGATGGCGGCCGTGGCAACGGGCGGCCTCGTGGGGAAGGGGCGCGACATCAGCCTGGCGGCTCTGCAGCGCCACGACCCCTATATCAACCGCATCGTAGACGTGGCCAGCCAGGTGGCTCTGTACACTTTCGGCCATCGGGCCAACGAGTGGGTGCGTGTGGACGCGACGGGCCGTGCAGGCAGGGCTGGGGTGGGAACGCGGTCGTCTGACCCGGGCTCGAGCCCCCGGCGGGGGAGGAGACGCGAGGCCCGGAGGTGGATGGTGGTGGATCGCGGGCTCCGGGCCGAAGCTGCGGAAATTGTACCCCTGGGCCCCGGGGACGCGGGGGAGGGAGGCCGGTCTGTGAAACCACTTGCACCCAGGAAAGACTGAACTATCTAAGATAGCCCACATTGGGAGACCAGACCGGTCAGGGACGGGACCCTGAGGACGGAAGGAGGGGGAGGACATGAGGCCGGAAGACTGATGTGCTCGGAGAAAGTAAAGCGCGATTCTGTTACCGGAAAACGGGGGCTATAAAGGCAAGGACAGGGGACGCGTGAAAGAGGAGAGTTCTGGTTCTGGAACTTCAGTCTCAGATGGGATAAAGAGAAATCGGACTTGACAGAAGGGGAAAATCTGAAGTTGCGAAGTCAGGGATTAATACACCAAGAAAGGAGCCAACATCGGGAAATAAAAGACAAAATGAGGCTGGGCCCTAACACTTAGAAGGAGGCTGACTCTCTTGGAAAGATTATTACACCGCAGCCCACCAAGACCAAACATGAGTTAGGTATTTGAGTCCATTTGGGAGTCGAAGTATTTTAATGCCTTTCTCAAAGGAGAACCCTAATAAACAGCAAAGGAATCATATTTGGCTTCTCTCCGAATTAGAAGCCGGGTAGGAGCCCAAGACACTTGAATCCTGCTGCAGGAATTACTGCGTGTGATTTTGTAACCCATATACTTGAATGCAGAGCGATGGAATTTTTTCTTTTCCTCCTAGTGATTTTTGTCCAGATAATGTTAATCCGTCAATTATATCACTATCCATCCATTACTTTTAAATAAGCTGCAAACGGTATAAAGCACAGAGCCTGGATGGATAGACTGATTTCAGATGATTTTTAAAAAGGTGTTCTTCAAGACAGTAACAAATATCAAAATTTAAGCGAGAAAAACATCCATATTGAACAAATTCATATGTTTCTAAACACCCACATTCATTTATATAACCTAATTATTCACCTGAAAATCACTAACAAAAATAAAAAGCTAAGTTCTGACATAGGAGAGAAGAGAACGTTTTTGCCCTAAATTCTTAACTGAGGAAAGTTACTGAAATGGGGCAAGGATTTTAGGTCTGCTCTCCTAGTAGCCAAGCAAAAAAAGAAAACAGGGAGAGCTCTTTAATATTCATTCTTGTTAGCAGGAAGCATACCACTTGGTCAGGAGAGAGGTTATTTCTCCCAAGTTTTCAGAGGTAATTTGCTGCCTGGGTCTTCATATAAAGGATGTTGAACAGCATACGTAAAATGGCAACTTAAAAAGCAAAGATATTCTCCATATGGCTGTTATACTGCCCTGTAGAAAAATGCCAAAGGCATAATGTCATAATTCTGTCAAGGTAATTCTGTAGTAGAGATAAGGGTTGGGATGTATAGTGTATAAACTGATTTGACACTAGGATTAGTGTCTGGAGAATCCTGAGAAATTAACATGTAGAGGAGAGCATTCCTCTTGAATACCGATTGTTTCTTACAGGCTTTTGACAGGATCTGTGAGATAGATACCTGTTAAAATAGTTACAGAGTTTTATTGGATACCCAGTGAAGCCCTAAAGCCTCATGAAATGGCAGAAGTGTCACAATGCATTTTTTACAGGATTATGTTTTCCTGCTTCCTGGACTTGCCTTCAGACAGCATAATTCATTCAGTAAAAGGTCATTCTTTTCAAAGTACTAATCTTCAAGGCTGTGTGCTAGCCAGAAAAAGAAGAGACCCAGTTTAGCTGCAGAGCAGTTGCTGGGGGTAAACAAATTGTCACCATTGTCTCCATATGCCATCACTCAGGCCTTCTGAATGGGAGCCTTTTGAATGTAAACCTAATAAACATAAAAAACATTATTGAGACTGGAGGAGAAAGCGTATGCAAGAAGGCAGGTGGGGTGTACAGGAGGGGAGTTCTTATTACACTGAAAATAGATGGAGAATGACATGCATTCAGAGCAGGAGGAATTAGGAAGAGTGGACAGAAAATGAACTGCTTTAAGAAAGGTTATGTCATGACTGGGACAGGAGTTTTAGAGCTAGACCTACCTCCCACTACCAGGAAAGACCACTCCCCCAAAATACCTGTGTGTCAAACAATATAACCCTGATGTTATTTTTACCTCTTAGCCCTTAGAGCAATAGTTTTTAACTGGCGTTGATTTTGCCTCCAGGCAACATTTGACAGTGTCTGGAGAAAATTTTTGGTTGTTGCCCTGAGGGAGTGTGTTGTGTTCTGGCATCTAGAGCTTCGAGGCCAGGGATGCTGCTAAATGTCCTGCAAAAGTGCTGAGCTTGAGAAACTGCCTCAGTAGTTTGTTTCTAGCTAATGATTTTCTGAGTTCTGTGTATCAAAATATCTGGATATGAGGCCCAAGCATTTGCTATTTGCTGAAAGCTTCTTAGGTGACCGGAATGCTACATCCATGCCTGAGACGGATTTACAGGGTAGATGGAGACCTACTTTTTCATCATTTAGAACAGGGGTTGGCAAACTGGCTCGCGAGCCATATGCGGGCAGCTCTTTGGGTATGTACATGTGTGAATTTTTCCCATTTTAATAACGATGTAATTAATACTATTACTTGTTATTACTTTAAATTTTCCTTATTTGTAAAAATATATTTATGGCTCTCGAATAATTTTTAAATTGCTGTGAGGGACAGGATTGGCTCTTCCATCTCAAAAGTTTGCCGACCCCTGATTTGGAATAATCAGTAAGATATAGATTGCTTTGAGTTGTTTTAAAGGTGTCAAATAGTGTGCTGAGTCCCAATAATTTGCAAATTAGCACTTTTATATTCCACTGTATTATTTTACATTTTGAACTGCTTAATTTTTCAGCACTTGTTGATGATTTGTAATAGAGTGTAATATTAAATCATTAAATTGTGCTTTTAAAGTTTAAGCTAAAATTCCCCAGAGCTGTGAACTAATACTTGAACATAAAAGCCTTCCTTGCTTGGAGGCCCAAAGGAGGATCTAATAAAAATCTTGTTTTAACTATTCCACATACTCCTAACCCTGGGCTTTGTCCAGAAAGGAAAAAATAAAAAGCCTGGTTACCTAGGATAATGCATGAATTTGAGCTGTTTCGGCCGTAACAGACCAGAGTTTTACACTTCCAAAGTCCCTTTTATCCGGGTGTCATAGAGCCTTTGATGAAAAATATGTTTTTTCTTATCAAAAGATCTGAGTGGTGTAGGCTGGTTATCTCTTTTCAGTGGAGAAACTGAGACATAGAATAATATACTGTTTAGCCCAGTATGACCTAGCAAGAACCCCACTCCAGTTCCTTTCTGTGAATGAACTCATGCTTTTTGTGTGTGATGCTATATAAAAATCTGTTTTAAGAATTGCTTGTTATGAGTTAGTAATTTCAGAAGCATACCTTTTGTATTTCTGATTCTGGACTTTTCAAAACTAAAATTGAGCACTAAAGTCTTTCTCTTAAAGAAAAGGTAATTTCCATTACTATTTCATTAAGAAAGAAAGGAAACAAGTCAAAACTATTGGCTTTATTTGTGCTGATGCGTGTAAATATCCTGACTTGGGTTTCTAAGATGAAACAGTTCAAGGTCAAATATTCTAGACAGAAAAGTGTTTTGACCTTGTAGCAAGAGACTCTGACAATGCCTATAGGTTCTAAGCCGTAGTTCCGTCCCCTATACCTCGGCTTCAGTTTCCTAACAATGTAATAAATAATACCAAATATTTAATTTTTACAAATTTATTCTTAAAGGCATTGTGGGCTGGTAAATACTTGCCAATTGTACTAGTTAGACTTTAGGAACACCCACAAATCCTTAGACTGTTTGGGTAGCATTTCTTGTACTGAAGTAGCCATTTTCTCAATGATTAATATTGTAGTGGTTTGAGTGTAATTCTTAGAGCTTAAAGTTCACTCAGGATATACATTTCTCAACAGATAGTAATTAACCACATTTGTTTACAAAAAAAGATAAATAATGTTTCGGTATATTTTTTTTCATTTTGACTCCGTAGTTTTCAAAGCACAGTGGGAAATGGACCCTATTTGAGAAATAAGGATACTTTTCACAGTACATTGAAGTGATTTGTACAAACTTAATAATAAATCCAGTTTAAAAATGAACTTAACTTTCTTGCTTTCTAATGTTTATATATTAAAGAAAAGACTGGCTAAAATTGTTTTAACTTATGAATTATTTATTTTGAATTGTATATTCTATACTGAGGATTAAAAATCTTATTACTAAGTAATTTAGTCTCAATAGCTATTTGCTCTTAAAACACAATGTTTGGTGATGTTTGATATAATTTTGGCCATTGTGGATTTTGTTTTCATGACTCCTAATATAGTTCTATGGGCGGAGAATATGTTCTTGAACTAAGGCAGTGCATGCATCAGAATCACCTGGATGGCTTAATAAAAAAAAAATGAGATTGCTAAGCAGAGTTTCTGACTCCAGTAGTGCTGGGGATGGATCCAATCATTTGCATTTCTAACAAGTTCCCAAGTGATGCTACTGCTGATGAACTATGAGACCCACTGAACTACAGTGACCAAGAAGATTGCTAAAATTCCTTGAACTTATGAAAGGCTCATTCTTCCAATTTTGTGTGTGTGTGCCTTTTAAAGTTATCATTTTAATATTACACCTTTGTTCTTAAAGAGTGTGGTTTTTACCAAAATTACCGAGTAAACACTGAATGATTTTGGTAATGGATATTAATAGTAAAATACTGTGAGGTTAAATAGAATGTTCACATTAAACCATGTAAATAGCAAATGTACACTTTAAAATCCTGAGTTATATAACAGTCTGATTACTGTTAATCAAACAAATAGTATTTAAAAATTTTTTTTCAAATGCAATGTATTGATGACCATTTTTATCAGGGCCTTTGTTGGTCTTACCTTTGTTGAAGTGGAAAAGAGCCTTTCCAAATGAACTAAAATGATACTTTACCACTTCTCCCAGTTTCTTTCAGGCAGATTTTTTGAGTCCTAGCTCAGTAATGTTTCTGTCTAACTTGATTTCAAAAATCAGAACTTGACTCTAAATATTCCACACCCAGTAGGTGATTAATTGTCTGAAAACCCCAGCCTCGTTGCTGTCCTCGTTGCTGACTATTAGTAGTCAAAGTAGAGTTATTGGCACTTCATCTCTCTTGGGTGACAGGATGTGGCAAGAGAAAATGAACCCAGAAAATAAAGAGCAGGGTAATGAGATGCAGACATCAGTGATGTCATATGCCCAGTTCAGAGGGCAGAGGAAAAGGCAGCACACTTAACTACTATCTCTTCTTTCAAATGAAATCCATGGAGCTCATTTATATTCTTACTGTTTCAGCCAGAGGTGTGTTGCTATCCCTTTATTTGGTAAGGAGAGAGAATGATGGCGTACTTTGTAAATTACAAAAGGAGAGTGACTGTTTCCTGCTGCTTAATCAGCAGAGCCACAGTCAAGCAGAGAAACTGCTTTTCTCCTTTCTCTAAGAATAACTAACCCCTCTTAGATTAGATGGTGCTTAGGTTTGGCCCTGCTGGAAACTAGGTAGAATTCCTATTCTGTCAGAAGTGTCTGTTCTCTAACCTCTGAATGTTTACTGTTAATGAAAATATACGTGTTTTGCTGTGTGTTTTGTTTTTTAGGAGAAGACTGATGTGGAAGGAACCTTATTTGTTTACACAAGGTATGAGTATTTTGCTTTTATAAAGAAACTGACATTCTTAATTGTAGTTTTAGTTCAAAGAGAAGTAAAAGAACTGAATCTTAAGTTTTTAGTTGACATAAGGAAGGATATACTGAATAATGTCACCTGGGATAGTGTGAGGCATACTAATCTCAGAATATAATTTAAACTTCAGTTTAGATGAAATTGAATCTTTGTTCTTTTAAAAATAGTATTAAATACTCTTTAATTCAAATGAATGATAACATTCTTGAATATAATGCATTAGCAAGGAGCTAGAAGTACACTATTAAGAATATTAGATTATTTAATCAATATTTAGGAAAGGGTTTTATTGGTGTGTCTCCCTCCCCCTGCCCTTCACTCTTTAAAGAAGTATAATCCAAAATTAAATTTGTCTTTGAGTCCTCTATTGTCTAGTTAGTAGAGTATGTTTCAAGATAGATTTAATAAATGCTTTAAATTAATTATTAATAAATTGAATAATCAGCTCATGTTAGTAATTTATATCAGATAGTCTTAATATCACAATGTACACAGACACGTATAGTATGTATATTGTCTTAATAGCTGAACTTTTTATTCTCATAAAATGTCATGGCTAAACTCCATCACCCTCAGTGGGGTACAAAGATAAGTATGGAGGCCTAGTACAAACCCTTTCAGGGCTAACATTTCCTGGGGAGACAGAAAATACACACACACACACACACACACACGTGTATATTTTTTACACATGCACACATTTAAAGATGAACCACAATGCAGACAGGCTATCCTAAGTGACAGCTGATGGCTTATAAGCTTTGAATTGGCTGCCGAGGTTGTGGGAGGCTTTATATAGTGGGTGAGTCCTGAGCAGGCCTCAGTCAGGTATGTGGTAGGACTTAATCACATGAGGAGCGGCAAGGGCGATCTCCAGCAGAGAGAGGCATGAAACTTATGATAAAGGGGCAGTCATAAAAATGACTGGTGCAGAGAGTTTATATTGGCTTATATTAATTAGAAGTTGACAGTGAGGGTAAAGTGATTTTGCTGACTTGGGGTGTCAGACTAAGGATTTCAAAATTAATTTTCTTAGCAGTATAGAGTCACTGCAGGTTTGCAAATGGGAGTAACAGAATTATGGCAAAATGCGGGGGAGGGGGTAGTCAGTGTATCAGCATTGTGAGGCTGCATTGGTTCTAGAAGAAACTGGAGTTAGGGAAGGACATTGAGAAGATGACTGCAGTGGAGTAGATATGAGTTGATGAGAGTATGGACCAGAGTGATAGAAGTTGCAATGGAAAGGATTTATTGAAAGACTTTATGTAGAAGAGATGGTGAAATTTTAAAATAACATTAAAGATTTTGAAATGGAAGCCTGAGAGAATGGCAATCATTGAAGGACTGGAAAAATAGGAGGTCAAGAATCCGGTTTGGGGATAAATTTTAGTTTATTTTGAAATAATGGTTTTGGAGTGATAGGGCATTCAAATGGAGACGTCCAGCCGCTCGCGATAGGGTAGGGCTGGAGATAGTTTGGAGTCATCCGCATGAATTTGGTCATTGAAACTGTGAGAGAAAAACATGTTCTCTGAAGGAGAGAGTATAAAGAGGAAGCTGAGGAAGGCTAAGCCTGGTTTTACAGCCAGCAAGGTACATAGAAGAGTCACCCATAACGGTAAAAGCAGAGCTAGAGCCATACAGAGGCCAGATGCAGGCACAGCTCAAGAATGGTGCCGGCAGAGCGCTCGTCTGTGAGTGGAAGCGGAGGTGGGAGTGGAAAGCAAGGATAAGTGAGGCCATTGGAGTGAGTAGGTTAGGAGGACGGCGGTTTATTCAGCCTCAGAAAAGTGGTGGGAGTGCCCAAGAGCTATTGGCCTATTAGTCTACATTATGTTCCAAACATTCCAAAAGCATCGGAACACACCACCAAGTGAGTTTATCCAGTATAGACTACTCCTGAGAATTCGGAAGTGTGAAACGAAAACCAAGATTGAACTCTACAGTGCACCAAGTACACGATATGCAGTCTCATTCATTTCCCATAACAAGTATTATTCTTTTGAGAAATGAAAGATATATTTAATATACATTAATTTTTATGGATTTTTAGTAGGGTTATTTTATTTTATTTTTAGTACAGAAGGGTAACAGATTATACAAGTATTCTCTCTTTTGTACCCAAACCAAAATGCAGCTTTGTATTTTCAGATACTTCTTAATTTACTTTGCGTTCCTAGTAGAGCTGACAGTTACACAAACCATTAAATTGGGAAACAGATCCTTCCCTATTTCTCTCTCTCCCTCATATCTAATCCCTCAAGAATGGGAGCCCTTCCTACCCCCTCCCCTCTTCCCCCAGAAGGGCCAGTCCCCGCCCCCCTGCCAGATTCTAGTGTGTTGAGATCTTTCCTCAGAAATTGACAGAAAGCTCATAAAAATCAAAAGGGAATCTTGGGTGCAGGTAGCCAGTGATATATTTTGCTTTAGAGCAATTGGCACATTATTCCCTGAGCCTATTTTATAAATTAGAAGATGGTATAGTACCCATACTATTCGAGAGGGGAGGTCCTGTTGTGATAATGAAATACTTGGAGTCCAGTTCTGATTCTATATAAAAACACCTGGTCCTACTTTAAAAATTATTTCTTTATTTTCTCTGATGTCTTCCTTTCTGTAATAGAGTTCATAGAGACACTCACTGGTGTTTTCTAAGCTTGACACTTCCAAAGGACTTTCTGTCAGAGATTGTTGGAAGTCAATTTTCATTATTCCTCAGAATTTAAATTGAAATGATTGTCATGATTATTTCTGGTTTTGATTATAATACCTACCACCACTTTACACCTTTGTCCAATAAATTAAGCAAGGATGGCCTTCCATCAATTTTAAAATTGGAGGACTCAAAAGGAAATTCCGTAAGTGGTGATGTAGCTATACTTTACTTCTTTATCAGCATCAAATGGTTAGAGGTGAAATAAAACTAAGATATAAATACCTTTTCTTCCTATTGCTCATAACATTTCTGTGGGTTTTTTATCCCGATGCCGTAGTTTAAAGTAAATAAGAGAATTCTGCTTCTTTCACTTTCAGTGTGTATGCATGTGGTGTTTCATTTGTCATCAGAAGTTGCATTGTTGAATTGCTATATGGCTGTCACCCAAGGGTAGACAAATGCACATGTATGTAGTTGTTAGAATTCATACTCTATAATTTGGGTTCTTTCTATCTGACAGAGAGTAGGCACCAAAGGTTTATTTAATGAAATGAAAAAGAGTCACTAAATGCCACATTTTTGTGGAGAAAAACTTTATAGTAGTTTATCCATGAAGCTGTTTGCTTTATATTAAAGAAAACAAAATATCTGCTCTTTGCATTAAATTATATAAACTTTTAATTATACTGTATTTCCTCACAAATTCATTGACCAAAGTTGCATTATTTCTCTAAAAAATTATGTAGCTTTCAATTTTAGACCAACACCAAGATTTTCTATTAAAAGATTTCTTTATTTAATTGTGATGTACTCTCTATATTATCAAGATTCTTTAAATGTATCTGTTAGTATTTTTTAAAATAGTAGTTACGGGCTGGCCGAGTGGCTTGTTGGTTAAGAGTTAGCTTGGGAGCCTGAGCTCTGAGCAGCAGGGCCGCCGGTTCAGATCCCACATGGGCCAGTGATGCTGTGCCCGCTACAGCTAAGATGGTGAACAACAGCTCGACCTGGAGCTGGGCTGCTGTGAGTCACCGGCGACAGCGTAAGCTGCAGTGGGGCTGCAGTGGGCTGCCATGAGCTACCGTGAGTGGCCGGCAGCCAGCGTGAGCGGCTGGCAGCAGGCGTGAGCTGCCAAGAGCCGCTGTGAGCGGCCATCCAATGGCCGGCGACCGACTGCCTCAGCCGGGAAGAGTGCAATGATAATACCAACATGGGCCAGTGAAGCGACATCCTCCACAACTAGACTGAAGGACAAAAAGGACAGCAACTTGTCTGTTCCCCTTCCCTGATTCCCCAATAAAATCTTAAAAACAAATAAAAATAAAATAGTAGTTACTATTGGGTTGTCAGAAAAGTCACGATGCATTTTTGCAACGAAAAACAGAAAAAATACATCATGACCTTTCCGACAACCCAATATCTCTGACTTAAAGGAATTTACAATGTAGATAGGGAAGCAAGATATTTATATACACAAAGTAAAATAAGTAGGGCTTGATTTTACCGAAGTATCAGTAATGGCAGTCACACTGCATGTGTTACATAAATTAATACATTAGCGGTATTAGCTAATAGTAAAGAATCATTGCTTTGTGTGTGTACAGTCCACTTACACAAAGCTGTATATGCATATGAAAAGGTTGAAGATACATAGGAATGTAGTTATACTAAAAGTGTGCCATACTGAACAATTTGTCTTTTGATGCCTTTCCAACCCTTGTAACTCTTAGGTCTGCATCTCCAAAGCATGGGTTCACCATTATGAATAGGCTGAGCATGGAGAACAGGACAGAACCCATTACTAAAGACCTGGATTTCCAGCTCCAGGACCCTTTCCTTCTCTACAGAAATGCCAGATGTGAGTCTTTCTTACTGCATTGGGGAGTTTTATTTCTGCAGTTTGGCCAAGTGTTTAAAATTGTACAGTGTATGTCTTTGTGTTTGTGCTTAGTATCAGTGGTTCTAGTGATCAGCATTGGCTAGCTTGGGAAATGTGTGCCTAATTGAGGGAAGAGCTTCTTATTTGGGAACCTTTAAGTGAATATGATGTAATTATTTAAACCCTATATTCTGTAGTGAGACCACTTTGTAGTGGGAACCCATTGGGATTCTAAGCCTGATCAGGGCTGGGTGAGGAGTTGTTGGTCAGGAGTCTGCAGAGGGAGACATAGATGGTGCTGTACAACACAGAATAAATGATTCAGCTGGTGGCACTATTTCATATGTGTTTCATCTCTGACTGAGCCTTCTGATAATGTGTTTGAGGGAGAAGGCCAATATTCTAAAAGTGCCATCTTTTGAATCTACAGTTAATGAAAAATAAAAGTCCAAAGAGTTTGGGCTGTTAAGAATTTTATAAGTCTTTGTAATCTTAAAGTTATATTAGGAAACTAAATGGTCCTTGTCAGATTCAAAATGAGGTAGCAATTGCCTGTGCAATATTCTGTCTCCATTTTACTCTTGTGTCTTATCTGAACACATGTGCTGGACTATTGGGTAGCCCAGAGAAAAATTGACAAAAAATATATAAACTGCAGAAGCAGCTCCATATATAGAAAATGAGAGCATACTAATAAATATATAAATGTTTCTGTGCATGCACAGGCTCTGTGCTTTGTGGATAACTTTAAAAAAGACCTTGCAGTTAAATGTTTTCTGTATGTTTTCTACCCTACTCTTTGAGCTCAAGATACAAGGGTTTGCCTACTATATATATACTGTTCAGTATAATTTTAATAATGTAATACAAGTAATATTTAATGGTTTAACCCCAATGAATTATTTTGCAGTAAGTATAACATTTTAATACTATATTTACTTATATTCACATATAATTAAGTTATGATAGGTGTCATCTACAGAATACGGTTAAATTTTTATGAGATAACAAAATGAAAGTTATTGAAACTGCAACATGGCTTACTAATAGCAGGTCCTATGGGTAAAAAAAATTAGTAAGAAAGAGAAATACTTTGTTTTCTATTCCTATTTCTTTTTTGGAAAGTGTAGTTTAATCACTGGTAGCTTGCAATTTGAATAGTTTGTATGCTTATAGTAATGTCAGGTTTTATTTTCTTTTTTGAAATTAGATTCTATGTCAAATTAATATATAATTCAAATCCTAATAAAATAACCACATATAAAATAAATGATTTAATTAGTGATTTGTAATAATCATTTTGATAGCTCTTATATTGGATACATACTTGGTCTATTTAGTATAGATAATATTTTAAGTTATTACATTACATATTATATATTATATCATGTACTATACCAAAAATATAAAAATACAAACTGATTTTAATGTGGTTGATTTTAAAATGAACTTTCCTAGGTCCCACAGGATTTATCTGATAGGAAATATTATTTGGATCTAATAAACATATATGAAGCCTCATCTTGGTTCTAGGCTAGTGCTGTCTAATATGGGAATCTAGCTGCCTATGGCTACTGAGCACTTGAAATGAGGCTAGTCCAAACTGAGCTGTGCTACGAGTGTAAAATACACACTGATTTTCAAAGAGTTAATACAAAAAAAATATAAAAAACCTCAATAATTATATATTGATTTACTTGTTGAAACAATATTTTAAATATATTGAGTTAAATAAAATATTAATTAATTTCACCTGCTTTTTATTTTTTGATTTAAAATTACATATATGGCTCATATTTGTGGCTTGCCTTATATTTCTATTTGATGGCACTGTTCTAGTTGTTTTTATTTAATTTACCGTATTTCATAATCACTACTTTGTAGGGTAGACATTTTCATTGCCATTTTGCTGATGAGAAAACTGGGACTCAGGGAGGTGACAGACTTGACAGAAATTCACAAATTCTGATTTCAGTTTCATTGCTTTTTTTTTTCATACCACATGTACTGTTTGCTCTACTATTAACATGAATGCAAATTGAAGGCAACCTTTGGGATGCATATTAAAATGTTTCTAATGGATTTCTATAAGAAAGAAATGGAATCAGTTGTATAACAAAGAATGGAAGGGAATGTATCTATCTTTTTTTTTTTACAATAGTTTTATTTTTTAATTAGAGTTGACATACAATATTATATTAGTTTCAGGTGTACAACATAGTGATTAGACATTTATATAACTTGTGGGGTGATCACCCTGATAAGTCTAGTACCCACCTGGCACCATACATAGTTATTACATTATTATTGACTATATTCTTTATGCCATACTTTACATCTCCATGACTCTTTTGTAACTTCCAATTTGTACTTCTTAATCCCTTCCCCTTTTTTATGCCCTGCAAGCCCCCTCCCAGCTAGCAACCATCAAAATGTTCTCTGTATTGAAAAAGCATTTGACAAAATCCAACATGCATTTATGATAAAACCTCTCAGCAAAGTGGAAATAGAGGGAACATATCTCAACATAATACAGGCCATATATGACAAGCCCACAGCTACTGTCCTACTCAAAGGTGAAAGCTAAAAGCATTCTCCTTAAGATGAAGAACAAGACAAAGATGTCCACTTTCACCACTTTTATTTAACATAGTACTGGAAGTTCTAGCTACAAGAATCAGACAAGAAAAAGAAAGGATGTCCAAATTGGAAAGGAAGAAGTAAAACAGTCTTTATTTGCAGGACATGACACTATATATAGAGAACCCCAAAGATTCCACAAAAAACTATTAAAACTGATACATGCATTTAGTAAAGTAGCAGAATGTAAAATTAATATTTAGAACTCAGTTGCATTTTATACACTAATAACAAACTATCAGAAAGAGAAACTAAAAAAACAATTCCATTTATAATTGCATCAAAAAATAATAAAATACCTATGAATAAATTTAACCAAAGAAGTAAAAGACCTGTACTCAAAAAATTATAAGACATTGAAGAGAGAAATTAAGATACAAATACATGGAAGCATTTACCGTGCTCATGGGTAGGAAGAATTAATATAGTTAAAACATCCATGCTACCCAAAGCCATCTATAGATTCAAGGCAATCCCTATCAAAACACCAATGGCATTTTTCACATAACTAGAACAAATAATCCTAAAATTTATATGGAACCATAAAAGACCCTGAATAGCCATGGCAATCCTGAGAAAGAAGAACAAAGCTGGAGTAGCATGCTACCCAATATCAAATTATACAAGGCTATAAGTAATCAAAACAGCATGGTATTGGCATAAAAAGATACATAGATCAATAGAACAGAATAGAGCCCAGAAATAAACCCATGCCTATATAGTCATTTAATGTACGACAATGGAAGTAAGAATTTACACTGGGGTAAAGACAGTCTATTCAATAAATGGTGCTGGGAAAACTGGACAGATACATGCAAAAATATTAAACTGGACCACCTTCTTACGCCATATACAAGAATAAATTCAAAATGGATTAAAAACTTAAATGTAAGACCCGAAACCATAAAACTCCTAGAAGAAAACATAGGAAGTAAACTCTCAGAAATTACCCTTACTAATGTTTTTACTGATATATCTCCTTGGGCAAGGGAAACAAACAAAAAAATAAACTACATCAAACTAAAAAGGTTTTGCATAGCAAAGGAATTCATCAACAAAACAAAAAGGCATCCTACTGAATGGGAGAAGATGTTTGCCATTGATACATCTAATAAGGGGTTAATATCCAAACTATATTTTAAAAAAAACATATAACTCAACATCAAAAAAAAAATTCCCTAAACCATCCAATTAATAAATGGGCAGAGGACCTAAATAGATATTTCTCCAAAGACAATGTACACATGGCCAATAGACATATGAAAAGATGTTCAATGTCACTAATCATCAGGGAAATGCAAATTAAAACCACAATGAGCTATCACCTCACACCTGTGAGAATGGCTATCATCAGTAAATCAACAAACAACAAGTGATGGCGAGGATGTGGAGTAAAGGGAACCCTGGTGCATTGTTGGTGGGATTGCAAACTGGTGCAGCCACTATGTAAAACAGTATGGCGGTTCCTCAAAAAATTAAAAATAGAACTACCTTATGACCCAGGAACTCCACTCTTGGATATTTATCCAAAGAAATCCAAAACTAATTTGAAAAGATATATGCACCCTTATGTTCATTGCATCAGTATTTAAAATAAACAAGATATGGAAACAACTGAAATGCCCATCAATAGACGATTGGATAAAGAAGATGTGGTACATATATACAGTAGAATATTACATTGCCATAAAAAAATGAAATCTTACCATTTGCAGCAACATGGATAGACTTAGAGAGTATTATGCTAAGTGAAATAAGTCAGACTGAGAAAGACAAATATATGATTTCACTTATATGTGGAATCTGAAGAACAAAATAAATGAACTAACAAAACAGAAACAGACTTGTAGATACAGAGAACAAACTGATGGTTACTAGACCATCAGGAAGGGTGTTGCAGCCTGGGTGAGAAAGGTATATGAATTAAGAAGTAGAAATTTGTAGTTACAAAATAGTCACCCAGATGTAAAGTACAGTATGGAGAATATAGTCAATATTATAAAAACTGTATAGTATCAGATGGGTACTAGACTTATTGGAACATCACTTAATAAATTATATAAATGTCTAACCACTGTGCTGTACACCTGAAACTAATATAACATTGAATATCAACTATGATTAAAATAGTTACAGAGATATAAAGTACAGTATAGGGAATATAGTCAATATTGTAATAACTATGTACAGTGTCAGGTGGATAATAGACTTGTTGGAGTTATCACTTTGTGAGGTATATAAATGTCTCATCATTATGTTGTTTTGTACACCTGAAACTAATAAAAAATAAAACCAAAAATATTCTCTGTATCTGAGTTTGTTTCTGTTTTGTTTCTTTT